AAAAAAACAGCGAAAGATGCAACTAAAAAGGAAACTAAAATCCAATCTTCTTCAAAAAACATAGATGCATAAATACTCAAAAAATCCTATCAAATATATTACAGCAAATCATCAAGGAGATCATACAACATGACCAGGTATGATTCATTCCAGGGTTACAAGGTTGATCCAATATTCAAAAATCTATAAATGTAAAACACTATATCAATAGAACAAAAACTAAAAACCACAAAATCATTTCAATTGATGCAGAAAAGGCTTTAACAAAATTCAACACTCATTCATGTTCAAAGTCCTGCAGAAAACTGGAACAGATGGTCTCTACTTCAAACTGGTAAAAGCCATTTATGAGAACCCAATGGCTAACATAATCCTAAATAGGGGAAAACTGAAATCTTTTACTCTTAGATCTGCTACAAGACAAGGTTGTCCTCTACCACAACTCCTATTCAATATAGTTCTGGAATAATTAGCTAGAGACATTAGGCAAGATAAAGAAATAAAAGGAATAAGAATAGGTAAAGAAGAAATTAAATTATCATTATTTGCAGAGGACATGATACTTTACTTGGAAGACACAAAAACCTCCACCAAGAAGCTGCTAGAATTAATACAGAAATTCAGTAGCATAGCAGATTATAAAGTCAATACCAAAAAGTCAATAGCATTCCTCTACAGAGACAACAAACACACTGAGAGGGAAATTATAGAAAAATATCTTTTACAATAGCACTGAGGAAAATGAAATACATGGAATTAATCTAACTAAAGAAGTCAAGGATCTTTTCAAGGAAAATTACAGTACTCTGAAAAAAGAGATCATAGAGGATTTCAGAAAATGGACGGATATTCCATGCTTCTGGATAGGAAGAACCAACTTTAAGAAAATGGCCATATTCCAAAAATTGTTGTACAGATTTAACTCAATCCCTATCAGACCAACACCAATATACCTCACAGAGCTGGGGTAATAATTCCTAAAATTTACTTGGACTCACAAAATACCTACAATAGCAAAGACAATCCTGGGCAATAAAGACAAGGCAGGAGGCATTACAATTCCTGACTTGAAATTATACTACAAGACTACTGTGGTAAAATTAGCATGGTACTGGGAACTTAATTGACTCGAGGATCAATGGAATAAAGTAGAAGACGCTGAAGACCCTATGAGCACACTCAGCCACCTTATCTTTGACAAAGTGTCCAAATATACTCACTGGAAGAAAGATTGCTTCTTTAACAAATGGTGCTGGAAAAACTGGCTTTCGACATGCAGAAAACTAAAACTTGACCCAGGTCTATCACATGAAATAAGCTAAAGTCAAAATGGATTGAGGATATAAACATTAAAGCAGACACACTAAATCTCTGGAAGAGAAAGTAGGAGGAACTCTTGAAGACATAGGGGTAGGCAAAGAGTTCATGAACAAATATCAAATAGCACGGGAAACACTTTAAAGAATTAACAACTGGGACCTGCTCTTATTTCGAAGTTTTTTCACATCAAAAAAAAAAATTATCAACAAAGTGAAAAGACAACAGACTAATCAGAAAAAAAATCATGACAAATAAGTACTCAGACAAAGGTGTGCTCTCTAGAATTTATAAAGAACTAAAAAACACGAGGGCACTGATGCAATTGTTATAAAAATCAGGGTGGAGAATCCTTAGAAAACTTGAACTGGAAATGCCATTTAAACTAGCTATTCCTCTACTGGGAATTTTCCTGGACAATCTGAAAATATCATATGATAGGGATGTATGTGTACCTATATTTATAGAAGGACAGTTTGAGATAAACAAATCTGGGAAACAAACAAGATGCTTGTCACCTGAGGAATGGTTGAAAAAGATGTGGTATTTTTGCACAATGAGGTATTATTCAGCTATAAAGAATTGTAAACACGAAGCTTTTATGGTGAATAGATGCCACTTGAAGATATACTGCTGAGTGAAATAAATCAGACACACATGTGCAAATATTGCATAGTTTCCATAGTATGAGTATTAAAAAGAAGAAATTCAAATAGAAATGTATAATACAAGTAAAAGGAAAGAAAGACCTTGAGGACTAATTAAGAGTGGGAAAGAGAAAAGCTAGGAAACATGACAGTGACAAGCAATATATTTACATGTAGAAGATGGGAAAGGCAATGATCCTGAGAATCTCCAGAAAATTTTTGAATCTAGTAGTTAATTGGAAAAATTCTCACCCTGACTAATTATATATACTGATACCTATGAACTAAGCAACAGCACTGAGGATGGCAATCTGTAAAGTAGGTTCATGCTTGGAGTGCCTTTCATTCTGGTCTTCTGTATCCGGGCTGCTTGTCATGACATGCCAGTTGTTGCTGTGCTGTCTCTCAGATAGATGATTGTTCAAAAAGATGGGAGTGATGATTGAAGGCAAGAGAGAGGAAAAGGAATGTTGTGGGACTGTCCTGCTTCAAGGCAGTATAATGTACATTTCTGGAATTATGTGCAAACATAAGAATTATATATTTTTTATGGCTATTTTTAAAATATATTCTAATTTTTATATGTTTTTCATCATCTTCTGTAGGAACTTAAAGTTCAACATAACAATACTTGATGAAAAATACCTGTTCCATATTATGTCTAAGATGTTTGCTATTCAGACAGATAGTGAGGTTAAGCTTAATAGCCTAGATTGTATGGAAATAACAATAAACTTATCTTCTGGAGGGTTAACAACCTATGTTTGCAGACCAAAATTAGAGAAAAAGGAGGGCCACAAGGAAAGCCAACATTTTGGCTCTAGCCTTCTACGGTCAATTAAGACTCAGGACATGTGAGAACTTGGACTGTAAAGTCATGCAACTCAGTAGTGTCTCAAATATTCTGATCAAGGTGATTATGGGGTCAAAGAGGAAAGTGATCGATGATGTAGAGTGCACCTAAGGAAAGACAAATGGAGAGAAAACATTCTCTCAGGCTTTCACAGAGAGCACATTGGCCAAGCAATCGCGGTGACTCATCCATATGACTGACACTGACAAAAGTTCTATAATCTGAGGTACAGGATCTCAACATAAATCCTGAGGGCATTTCACTGACCTTATCAGACCCAAAAGCTACAACTCTTGTTGCATAGGTCCTGTTTTACCTTGGTCTTAAATATCCAGTGGCAAGTATATAAACGAAGTATATAAAATAAAACCATCTGTTATGTTGAGCTGTAGGGGACTCAAGTCAACAATTTCTGACATTGCCAGTGAAGCAGAAGACTCAATACTATTATGGACTACTGGACTATTTTAGAATATTTTGCTGAGTTTCCACACCTATAATATTCAAATAACGGAACTAAAGAAAAAAAGGGGATACAGACGAATGTCCATTTTGTATCTGTGTTTTCAAAATGGTTAGAATGGATATATAGTTCTATTCTCTTAATGAATAAAGGGATTTGTTGTAATAGTGTTTGTAAATAAGATATCACGTCATCTTTTACAGCAATTAACCTCTAGGAATAATGTATGCAATATATTAATTATTGAGACTGTCCTACCAATTTGGTTTGAAACTTTCTCATTGCTATTTGTTTCTCAAAAAAATTATTGAAAGAAAAAACAAAAAAAGAAAGGCAATCATCAATATTCAATTATTTACCAATCTTGAGTAGTGATACATGTTAATCTCTGCAACAGATTTCAGGATGAAAATGAATAACATAACAACCGTCATTAATTGTTTTGAAAAACTGTAACATACATATTGTTCTACCTTACACTTTTTCTATGTTCTTTCAATTTGTTTTTCCTTATGTTTTTACTCTTCAATATAAAATAAAATTAAATATAAAAAAGAAATATCATTCCCAGAATATGAAAATGTATGAACATAGAGAGAGGAGCAATTTTGCAGTTTCAGGTATGAAGAGCTGAAAGAAAGCACTACTAAGTAGTGTGTCTTTTCTAGGAAATAACAACAATGACTTAAATATCATCAATGCAATGGTTGTACATCTTTGTCAATGTGCTATAATACATTGACTAAATCTTACATTTTAATTTTGTAAAGGATTAAGTATATTCATTTTAGTTCAATTAAGCTATTACTTTAACAAAATCAAAAGTTCAAAATTTCTTCAACCACCTATGAAGAGTAATGTTATGCATGTATCTCTACAATTTAATAATTGTGAAGAAGACAAATTGAACAAATTCATCTAATTTCCATGAGTATTTTTTTCTACAACCTGAAATATAGGTAGAAGTCTGACCCAGTCAGTGCGTATGCAATCTCACTGCCACTCAAAATAATGATTAATGCATGCTACTTCTATTCACTACAGTAGTTAAATATTTAATTTTTAATAAAGAAATCCTTGTCACTTATTTCTTGATATGACTATTGTGATATGTGTACTGATCATTATTTATAATTTATTTTTGTAGATGAGTGTTTTCTATATGTCAAAATAATAATTATATCCCTCTTCTAAACAGAGGTTGAAAACAACCTCTTTATATCCCAAAGAACTTGTTTAAAATTAGTTTTGTTGCCATCTGTGGGATGCATTGTGCAACAAGCTGTGGATTCACAGATGATGATGACTGTAAATAATTAAACAGAAGAAGTGAAGAATACTTTACATTTTATATTTCTCCCTAGGACATAGAAATTTAAAATGGCTGAAGGCACATTTGGCATTTTCTTTCATCTTCAAATTGTTTTTGTGTTATTTTAGAGGGGAATAAGGACAAAATTAGCATGAATTTCTGAAGCTTGTGTCCTCAGTATCCTACATCTTGAACTGCTGCCAAAAACCAACTACAAAGATTAGGTAAAAATCTACAGGTCTAGTTGGAGAAGGAGGGAAGTCTATACTGTACTCTACTGATACAAATTTTAATACCCATAACCTCAGCTAATACTTCTAACAAATGAGCCATATACCATCCTATTTTTGTCTTACAATCTAGCTATGTAAAATTATTTTGAAAAACAAACATGGTCACTAGAACATATTCAAGGTCACAGCAGAAGAGATCTTTTATTGTTTAAATCAAATATTTCAACAAATTACAAGTTTTGAGGGATGAAGCTAATTAGAACAAGCACAATTTTGTGAAACATGTTGAAACTTCACGGCATATATGTAGTACTACCCAATGATATATACTGTTAAATCTTCAAAATAGAATATTTGCCTTAACAATGTGCTGTGAAATTAACAAGGTTCAAAATGCCTTTTATCTGCCCTAAATCATGGGTTATATTCCTGTAGCTAATCCTAAACTCTCTTCTATATCTTTCATAATTAATATGTGATTCTCTCAAACTTCAAATAGTGCTTTTTCTGAATTCTTTTGCAACCCATGTTCAGAATTTTTTCTCTTTCTATCATGTGCAAGCTTACCATTTCCATTCAGCCCAATGAATCTCTTTGACTTCCTTTCTTCACTTCTCCACAGTCTCTGTGTAGTTCCATGAAAGTAACAGCCACATTTTCCTTAGTGAACTGAGCTGTTTATATTGAAGTCTCTCTCCTCTATATTATTTATCTGAGTAAGATCTCTCTTCCTACTATGAACCATCTTGCTCTGATGTTCTCTGAGATATACAAAAATTCCAGTGGATTGCATTTTATTCAAAGAGAAATTGTTTCTTTAAATACAACAAAGTCTTTAGACTTCCTGCTTTTCTCAAAACAATGTGTGCTTTGAGTGATTCTCCTTGTTTCAAGATTTACAATGAAATATCTGTCAAAGCTACAGCAGAATTCTTATAGAAACACAGGATTAGAATGTACAGAGAAATCAGAATGTCAAACATCTTATATATCATGGAGATCATATCATAATGACAGATCCATGGCAGTGGAATTAAATGAAATAGTCTGACTTCTATTGTTGTATGATGCATCAGCTCTACTCCCTCTTTTTCTTCTTTCCTGTCTTTACAAACTTATGAAAACAAAACAGGAAACATTTTATGACAAAGAAAGCAATGGTTGCAACACAAGCCAGTAGGAAGCCAATGACATCCAAAGAGTGGTACTGGTACCAGGTGAGGTTGTGGGCCAGTGGCCTCAAGTGTTTGGCCCCTTTGTGGCGCATGACATACTCTATCCAGAAGACTGCTCGGTCCAATGGTTTCATTGGCTGATCATGGTGAATGGTTGATAATTTCATGGCATTCTCTTTATAGCTGAAGGAAATTAAATATCTTCAGAATTATTTAGAAAACACAAAATGTAAATTATAGATGCTGTAAAAATGTTGAGAAACAGAAAAGCCTGTAGTGAAATGCTGAAATGAGTGCACAATTCAAAGACAAAAGGCAAAATCTTTTCACTGTTTGTATTACATTTTTGAGTAACTGTTTTAAGGTTTAGAGAACTATGAAGGTGTACTGAAGTGTTAACCATAGTTTAGTTCTTAAAAATTATAAAATATCCAAGTTCAATTCCTGCTACCACATGCCATTGCAGCCCCTGAACTCCAGGTGTGCCCTTGCTGACAGCTCAATTCAGGCATGGTGCAGACTCCTGCAATTCTAGTGCTGGGAAGACTAGGACAGTAGGATCACTATGAGACTAATCTGAGTTGTGAGACCCTGCACCAAATAAATATATGATAATTTTTTAAATATTATAAAACAAAATTCTTTTTACACATATTGCACAGATTTTATTTGTTGCCTTTCCATAGATACTACTTTTTTGAATGAAGAGATAAAATCGAGAAACCTTACAAAATTCATGCTTTCTGCTTCATTGCTTTATTCAAGTTTCCTTCCCTCTGTTTCTATGCTCAGTGATTCATCTCTTTCCATTTACTGGCTATTTCAAATGGTTTTCTTGGTTGGTTGTTTTTTGCTTGTTGTCTTATTGAAAGACAGTTTTACTATGCAGTGCATGGTGGCCTTGAATTCAATTTCTAGCTTAGGCTGGTCCTAAAAACCAAAAAGTCCTCTTGCTTCAGCCTTATGAGGGCTTGGATTAGAGGTGTGTTTCACTAAACCCAAACTTATCTCTAAACTTTGAACTTTGTTTACACCCTGCAAAAATTTTTCAAATAAAAACAATGATATAAATTTATTACAATAGTATCAGTTATCAAGGATGGTTTTATCATTAAGCTAACTTGTATTTCTCTCTGTTTTTCTCAGACTCTTTAGTACTTCTTTGGGCTTCATGTAAGAAGTTATCAATACATACTACAAAGTCATTTGAAAAATGTTTACTCACGTAGCATTCTCAATGACTGTCTTCAATGCATTGAGTACAACCGTATTTGATATTGATTTGAATTCCACTGCAACAGCTGCTCCTTTAGCTTCCATTTGAGCAATGTTGTCATGTTGCTCTGCAAACAAAGGAATGCCCACCATAGGGATGCCGTTGCAGATTGCCTCGTAAACACCACTGACTCCACCATGAGTTATAAAAGCTCTGGTTTTTGGATGACCTAAGATTAGGTGAATGTAAGAATTATTATAAGTTACGAACATTATATATTCAATGAAAAATGTAAACTATGAGTCACTAAATGAGGAGATGTTTTATAGATAAAGGTTTTGTACCTAGGAATCTGCAATGATATTTCATTCATATCACATAACAAGAAGAACCTAATCTATGGGAAAGGAAAGTGAATGCTACCTGGCTAATATGGTGTATATCTTGAACAACTGACATGTGATCATCAGGAAAAAATCTGTATAATGTGGTAAAACAGACCAAGTGCAATAGGAGATTTATGTGTGTGTTAGAATTTGTTATATTAAAGGGAGTTCATTCACTATTTCTGATATAACGATCATGTAAGTCAGCAAGAAGAGGCATTAGGAAGAAAGATGATGTGATATGTCATGCTAATTGTGAGAAGTTTTTCACATTAAAAATAGATAATTAAAAATAAATCAAGAGTATTATTTTCAGTAATATTTACACATCCATATTTGTGTGGAAAGACTGGAATTTCAGATTTGTTAGGCAAGAGTTGAATGAATAACAAACAAGAAAAACATTGAAATTTATTAACACAAACTCTCTGAGAAGCAAGTTCATTTGAAATGAGGACCTTAAAATTCCTTCTACGTATACTGAAAAACCAACTATTTCAAATTATTTTGCTTTCCCTAAGCCTGGAAATATGTAGGATGAAATTTGGTTTAGTTTTGATTTTGCAACAGCTGTCCCTCATTTCATTCCATTTCCAGGTATCATCATCCTCACTAAATCAGCTTTTCAGTATTTGTTCTCCAGCATCTTACCAAGTAGGTCACTCTGGGGAAGCCACTTGAACAACATTGTGTTGGCTCCTAAAGTATCTGGTTTCTTGCCATCAAATCTCCAAAGAACCTGTTACATAAAGACTACATTAAACCATATGTTGAATTTTGAAATTTAGAGACTGCCAACTTCAGCCTGTTTCAGAAAATAAATTTTTAAAAAGAAGACAAGCATACTAAATATTAAGATTGAAACAAAAAGATTCATACAATAAGAAGACAAACATTATCTGTATATTTTATATTTAAACACTTTGAATCTTTTCATATTTCATTGATACTGATTTACATACGTAAGACATTACAGGCTAAGGCAAATCATTGTAAAAATTACTGTGTAATCACAGTTTTACAAGGCATAAACAATTTCTAATGGTTTCAATCACCATTAATAAACAAATCCATGATACACTTGTTTTAAAATTAATACTAGCTGAGTTTTTAAAATATTACTGTAATATCCTCATAATCATTGTTTCCAGATGCTATTTTACTAGTTATAAGCTTAAAATATCATTTTGATGTGCAAAATGTTTAATCTCCATAACCTTCTTAGGTCAGAAAATAATTCATTGGGTCTTAGAAGTACATTCCTTTTACGCATTCATGTTTATACACTCTTTGTATATTAAAAAATTTTTATCTCTTTTTGTAGCAAGTATTTTAACGGGCATTTTGATGAAAATTCATTATATTTATCACTACTGCTATGATTGGAATCTGAATTAAGGAAATAAGAGTTTGTTTGCAAATCCTAAGCATGCAGCTTTACCATAAAAGTACATATATTTTATTGCTTAAATTTTCTTCAATGAGCACTTTCCTCTTCCATAATACTGCACAAACTACTGACAGCATAAATGAAAATGGCCTAAGCATTTCATTAGCTTGTCTCAAATGAAATGCTGATTTTAGAAATTCTAAACAGTCATTCTACACTGGAGCATCACTTATTAGTAGTTGAGCTATATTAACTGTGGGAATGTTTCAAACAGCGTCATGTTCGAGCTAAAAATTGGCTTATGAGTTTACATGACTCTTGTATCTGAAAGTAACTATAATCTACCATAGTTCCTAGCGATTCAAAAATTATACTCTAATTATATATGTTAGAAAATTAATCCCTATTATAAAAATGGTATCTGAACATTTTCTCTAGACAACTTTCTTCCAGTTTTACTCTTACTTTCCGTTTGTTTTCATGATTGGAAGGACATTAAGCTGGTGAAATAAAGCAGAGTCCTTTTGGAGAATATTTTAAAATTTACATATTCTGCAATAAAGGAAGTAGACAGCTGCTGTATAAGGGAAAAGGATTTTTATGTTTTTCTGTTTCAGATATGGGTGAGGTTTACTCAGGTTAGTTTGTATCATTTTTCAATTAACATGGACAGTGGGTACTTGGAGCCTGAGTTGGCCACTCTTGCTTTTCTCTCCTCTGAATATCTACATGAAAAGCACATTAAACAAGTCTTTCCCAAATTCAGATATGTAAAGTGGAGAAGACATTTGAAAATCCTGAATTATATGATTTATTTCAAACTTCTTTCAATATCTGGTTAATGTCATTGTGATAAACACTATTAAGCAAAATTTAACAACCTTGTAGGAAAAGAGAGCAAGTTTATGAAATCAAATCTTTGCAGAAGTTCGGCACTTTCTCTAGTATACCTCTCCCATTAAGACACTTTGCCAACCTTTTGTGGAATCTGTGCCAGGTCTGAAGCAATCACATTTGCCATGGCTTCTGTCAAGTTACTGACCATCGACCCCAGAGAAAACACCACAATTCCATGTTCCCCAGAGCTTTGCACAAAATTTTCCATTTCCTGTGCAAAAAGAATTGCTTCTATTAGAGCAAAATACAAGAATACAGCAAACTCTTTTAAAAACATGCCATTGAAAAAACAAAAATGATACATATAATTAATTTAATTATGGGAAAATCTGGTAAAAGTTTTGTGAGATGAATTTCACCATCTTTAAAAGTATAATTTTAATGAAATGTTTGTGTAATCAATGCCACAATTATTTCTTGTACAAATACAAATTTGTATTTAATGTATTTTCTTAAAATCAATATGATGTTTTAAGTATTTATTCTTTATGTTTTCATTTAGTTCTAAAAATTGTAAAAATTGTGATTTTATTCATTTTCTCTTCACTTTTTTTGTTATCATTTACTCTTATTTTGGCATATGAACCATTACTGAAGATTTTTTTTTCATCACCCATGTACACAGGTATAACATCCATATATATACTTCATTTAATCCGAAATTTCTTTTATGCCTTATTTAGTATTACCAATACTTCTTAGCTAAAATATTTGTGATGCTGTGCTAGATAAACATATTTAATCATTTCTTACATGCAGTTGTTTAGGTTATTTCTAGGGTATATTTTTATAAATAATTACTCAAGAGATGAATTTCATCTTTTTGTTACACCTCTTCACATATACTAAGATTAGCATGTTAGACAATGAGTCAAAATGTTGTTAAGACTTGATGCAAGTACAAATGTATTAATTTCTAAAAAAACTAAAATTTGAAAATTTGTACAATGTAGTAACAGATATTATTATTATTATTATTGTCATTAATCTGTTTTTGGTGTTCTCTTTGTCTTCTTTATCTTCAAGGAATTCTTCACCTAACACTACTATATTTTAGATGAGATCAGGTACATTCTGGGTGGTATGG